AAAATTTTAATAAATACATTATATAATATATTAAATTAAAATATATATGAATTAATGTCTTTAAACAAATCTTATCAAAACAAACTTGACTTGCGGAATATCATCACACGAGCTTAAAGAATTTGATGTTGAGAAACGAAGTCAAATTTGAATCCTCTTTTTATACTTTTAATTAATACTAGAAATTCCATCAAGAATTCTTAGAAAAAATTATCAACCCCCTGATAGGCAATTTGCAGTTAGATCAATGGCTGGAAATTCAGCTTACAGCTAACGCAAAATTGGTGCTCCTCCGATTTGATTCACGGCCGTGATGGGTTTTCGGGAGTCGCTCCAATGGGTCACACCTGACGTGAGAGGCGTGCTAGGCTGCAGAACGGCCGTGTGTTCAAAGTGTACAAATAAGCAATCCCCTGTTCCTACGTTTTGACTCCTGGGTTGGTATCATTGCAGGGGTCAGTATTCTCTATTTGAGAACACAGAATAGAGAACTTGTTCTTACCAGCTTCGGAGAAAATACTGACCCCTGCAATGATACCAACCCAGGAGTCAAAAAGTTGGAACAGGGGATTGCTTCTTTGTACACTTTGAACCACATCCTTTAATTTTTCATTTAATAAAAAAATTAATCATTTTAATAATACATTAAATTATAAAAAAAAATTATACAAAGCATTTTCAATGAAATATAAGACAAAGAGATTTTACTGTTTAAATGGGACCACAAACAGTACGACTCAAAAAACTTTGTACCTCTAATAAAGATTGTGATCGTGCGACGTAGGAGGGCGTCTGGGAGAACTGCTCAAAACTCAATTTAAAGAAATAGTACTTTTTGTTATGATCATCAAAAATATTATTAAAGTTATTAATATTTTATTTTTATTTTATTAAATTATTTTTTTTTATCAATTTGTAATTATTTACAGGGTTAATTGGGAGAGGAGGAAAAGGGGTTCCGTGAGGCTCGAACGTGCACTTCACGGAGGTGAACAGTCCTAACCCATGGCCCAAAGCTACTAGACCGAAACGGGCTGTTCTATTAAATTATTTTTTATTTATTTCATTTAAAAAAATATATATCTTTTTAATTTTATTTTCATCACTTTTGTCTTTTTAAATAAAAAATAATTTAATAAAATAAAAAATAAAATATTAATAATCTTAAAACTATCCATAACGGGATCCGGGAATTTTCCATCTAAATATAAATATACTGACCCAAGATCACGGAATTAAAAAGAAAAAAAAAAAAAGAAAAAAAGAGAGGAAATGGGATGGTAGAATGGGAGCACAGACAATAACTCCAAAAATTAAAGATTTCTTTAAAATACAAATTCAGAATATTTTTCTATAATAAATTTATATAAAATGTGTAAAAATAAATATTAATTTTAAAATTAATATTACATAAATAAATTTAATTAAATAATTCATAAATCAAATATTATTTTTTATTTTTTTAAAATTCTTAATATGTATCTTTAAAATATATTGAGTTATAAAAAATTCAAATACTATTGATATGTGATATATAAATAAAGCATGTGAGACCTAAACGATGATATAGCTGCCAAGTGAGATTAATTATGTGTTGTCGTTTTATGTTATATCTTTGAGGTCGTTTTTAATAGGGTTAAGTTACTTAACAGCTTTGTGTTTCATTTTTACAATAGCTCAGAAATTATTTATCTCCTTCATCCTCTACTATTCTTTGTAACCCTTTTGGGAGACTACCTGTAAATTTTTTATTTTAGACCATTATATTGAGGAATATATCAAAAAATTTTCTTTTATTTTCTACTAAATTTCCTTTATATTTTCTTTAGAGGAATTTATCCGAGAGCTAATTGAGCCTTTCCTTATTTTTCTCACCTATCTTTCATTTTATCTGTATCGACTATGACCTTCCCCAAGTAGTAACCGACATAAACCACCGCACAGACATACTAACAGTCTGAAAGCGCATGTGATTACGTAAGCGTGCCGTACTCTTTTAGAATCGAAAATGTTTTACTTTTCTCATTCTTTCGAAGAGGAATCATAAATGCAGTCCCTTTTTTCTACACTCTCTTAACACTCTCTCACTTAAAATAGCCACGTGAACTTTTTAGCTGAAAACTTTGAATTGCGAACCAAAAATTAGTACGTGGCTATTTCATATGAGAGAGTATTCGAGAGTGCAAGAGAAAGGCGACTGCAGGTAGCAGTCCTTTGAAAAATTCATCCTCTCGCTTTCCCGTCCCTGTTTGACTATCTTTTAATTATTAAAAGGACATTAAAGCATCTGTCAGAATCAGATCAGCTCTTCCTTAACTAATTTCAAAATAAATAAAAAAATGATATCAGGTTTGGTTATGAAGAAAATGAGCTTCACCAAAAAAAGAGGCCTCTCCCAATCCCAGCATCTCCAATCTCCCCCGTCTCCGGCGATGACCTCTGCAACTGCAATCTTTCTCATACCCCTGCTAATCCTCGTCCTCTTCGCCACTGCTGCAACAGCTGCTGCCCCGTCGACTTCTTCATCAGGTACATCTTCATTCTTATTCTCTACCAAACGGTTCCTGAATCAATCAATTCTGTTTTTAGAGTTTATTATAATTTTTGGGGAGCTTGTCATAACCCAGACTTGAAGGTTTAACAAATATAAAAGCAGCATAAGACACAAATGGCTTGAACACGCCCTTTCTTGTACCCTTCTGCTCAACCCTCTTATTCTGAGGTCGGATGTAGTTGATGACAATAGGTAAGCTAATCAATCCTAAAGCCAATCCTAAGGCCATGACAATAGGAAGCTGGAGAGATATTATTTCAGCAAGGGAATAGCCAACCTCCCATCTCTTAATGTTAAACCGAAAACCCCCAATCTACACCGACCTTCTGAGTATATAGAGAAGTGTTCACTTCATTTACCTGAAAGTTTCTCCATGCCTTAGCCAAAACATCATAGATCTTCCCCTTTTGATAGGAGATTCAGCAATCACTCTTCCGGCAGGGCTCCACTTCCTGGTAACCAAGCCCGATTGTGTCATAATCGACCAATAAGGAAAAACAAGCAAAAACAACAAAAGATTATAAAAAAAATTTTGGGGTTTTTTTGGCTAATAGCTAAATACAGGGAGTATAAAACTCTAATAAAGTATTTAGGGATTTTGGAGGTGAGAAACTAAGGAAACGAGAAACAACGACAAAAAAACTTTTTGGGGGTTATCAGATTTAGGAACGGAGCAAGCAGAAAAACTATGAGAGAATCAGAAATCATGGAGAGGGGAAGGAAAACTAGAAGGGAGTTTGGGAAAAAGAAAACTTCAAAATTGAATAGAAAAGGCTAAAGAAAGCTGAGATTCTCAGCTTCTGGGGAGGGATGCGACGACTCTCATGTAGCTCATGGAACCCTAGCTGGGCGGGGCTATGGTAAGCTAATCAATCCTAAAGCCAATCCTAAGGCCGTGACAATAGGAAGCCAGAGAGATATATTTCAGCAGGGGAATAGCCAACCTCCCAGCTCTTAGGTATTGTTTGGATTGGAGGTGTCGGACGGAGAGGGAGGGGAAGGGATGGGGACGGATGGCAAGGGAGGGGGACTGAGAGGGGCTGTCTCCTTCCTCCTGTTTGGGTTTCCAAAGAGGCAGAGGGGGAGGGAGATGGACTAATTTGGACTCCCTTCAACCACTCTCAAATCTGTAGATTTGCAATCCGCCCGATTTGGGAGGTTTGGGAGGGATTTGAGTGACTGTTTAGATTAAGTTAAATGTAATTACAAAATTAACCTTAATTTTTAAATCCATTACAAGCTTAAAGGGTAAATTTGTAAATTTAAAATTAATTTAAATCCTTACCTTCCTTTCCTTCCTTTTACCTTAATTATCCAAACATAAAATAATACAATCCTTCCCTTTCTTTTCCCTTCCTCATTTTTATTTATCCAAACAAAATTAACACAAATCATTTCCTTCTATTTTCTTCCCTTCCCTTTCTTTTCCTCCCCCTCCATTTCCTTTTATTTTCCTCCATTCCCCTCCCTTCCCTTCCCTTCCCTTTACTATTTTCTATCCAAACGAGGCGTTGATGTTAAATACAAAACCCCCAATGGACCAAGGCGAATTTTCTAAGTGATGCAGGAGCTTAGAGTTTTTTTTAATTATTTGTTTTAGTTTTAGAAAAGTAATTAAGATAGCATGTGGCTTTATTTAGGATTAGAATTTGTAGCTTATTAGAAGTTCAAATTAGAATTGAATTACAAGTCTTGGCTATGTTAGTATATATAGTTGTTTGAGATTTTAGTTTGAAAAGAAATTTGTAATTGAAAACCTAAGTTTTCTTGGTTCTATCTTTAATTTTACGAAATTGTTAGTTTCTATTTGTTCTACTCCTACCATCTCAGTATATAGATTAGTAGTCACTTCATTTACCTGAGAGTTTCTCCATGCCTTAGCCAAAACATCATAGACCTTCCCCTTTTGATAGGAGATTCAGCAATCACTCTTGCTGCTCCGTCTGCCGCTCTGTCTGCTGCTCCGGTTGCTGCTCCGTCTGCTGATCTGCTTGCTGCTCCCTCTTCAGCCCTGTCTGCTGCTACGTCTGCCTCCCCGTCTGCCGCCCCGTGGACTTCTTTGTCAGGTTCTTCTCAATTCTTATTCTCTAATAAATGGTTCCTGAATCAATCCTGTTTTTAGGGTTAATTATGACTTTTGAGGAGCTTGGCATACCCCAGACTTGGAAGGTTTAACAAATATAAAAGCAGCGTAGATCTAGGATAAATTAGTACTTTAGGTATTCCTTTGGAGATAGAAATTTTACCTCTAATCACAGCTAGATTTCTTTGGACTTGTGTTTTGTGTCTTGTGTACCCCCAAAGGTAGGTGGATGCCACTTCTGAAATTGCTTCAGTTTGGCTTGACATTCAGGGTCCTCAAACAACCCAATCCCCTCTGGAACCTCATTCCCTTCAGATTGCCTCTGAACATTTCGTTGCTGGGTTCATAATATCTTACATTGCTTCTTGTACCATTTCCCTCATAATAGTTCGTAATACATCCATAGAAATTGTCACCACTCCACCAGCAACAATATTCATAGATGCAGGGTTTATAAAACTCTAGTAAAGTATTTAGGGATTTTGGGGGTGAGAAACTAAGGAAACGAGAAACAGGGGACTTTCAGATTTAAGAACGGAGCAAGTAGAAAAACTATGACAGAATCTGAAATCATGGAGAGGGGGAGGAAAACTAGAGGGGAGTTAGGGAATAAGAAAACTTGAAAATTGAATAGAAAAGGCGAAAGAAAGCTGAGAAAATCTCAGCGGAGGGGAGGGGTGCGACGACTCTCATGTAGGTCGTGGGCCCTACCTGGGCAGGGCTAGTTCTCTTTAGATCGGGTTTGAATGGAATTTGGGCTTGTTTAGTGACAGAGATAGCTTATCAGCAAAACTTTTAGTGAGAAAAATAGTTGGCACATGGAGAAAGTTAATAGGAACAACTCTTAAGTGGATCCATTATAAAGAAAATTGTAAAAATATTTTTACTTCATCAGAAGATGTGTGAGAGGTTGGAAGGGTTTAGGAAAGTGTACAGAAAGTTTGCCCTCTAACTAAACACCCCTGAAGGTTTCGTGTGGGGGTGAAGTTTATCTGTCAAAGTTTGGGGTTTGAATAGGAAATCGCGAGTGTAGAATCTTGAATCAAATCCTCTGTCTGATTAAAATTAAATCAATTCAGTTTCATTTCAGCCTTTTGCTTTCTGCAATTCTGACAATAATGACCTATCAATTGACCTTTATTTTTATCTGTGGTTTGCAGTTGAGTTTAGTGGAAAATCTGTCTCTGAAGAAGACATTCTAAAATGCCCCAAAGCAATTCCTGCTGGAAATTGCAGAGACGCAAATTGTTGTTTACTTCCCTGTCAAAAGCAGCTACCGGGCGCGAAGTTGGTCCCGAGTTATACGTACAGTAATGGCCCTCTGTGCTTGTGTGAGGCGATGTATAACGGCAAGGCAGGTCGTTGTCCACCATAAGTACGGGTGGCAATTGGGCGCGATTCTTGTAGGAATCGGGGTATGGGCAGAGAGCAATATTTCAAATTAGAATTGAATTAAGAGTTTTGATTATGATAGTATATGTAGTTATTTGAGATTTTAATTTAAAAATAAATTTATGATTAAAAAACCTAAATTTTCTTGATTCTATCTTTAATTTTACAAAATTATTAATTTCTGTTTATTCTACTCCTACCTTCTGAACATATGGATTAGTATTCACTTTATTTACCTGAAAGTTTCTCCATGCCTTAGCCAAAACATCATCGACCTTCCCTTTTGGATAGGAGATTCAGCAATTACTCTTCCGGCAGCAGTATGAGAGGGCTCCACTTCCTGGTAACCAAGCCCGATTGCCCCATAATCGACCAATTGGGAAAAACAAGCAAAAACAACAAAGACTATAAACAATGTTTTGGGGTTTTTTTGGCTAATAGCTAGATACAGGAAGTATAAAACTCTAGTAAAGTATTTAGAGATTTTGCGGGTGAGGAGAAACAGGGGACTTTCAGATTTAGGAACGGAGCAAGTAGAAAAACTATGACGGCCAGTTTGAGAATACGAATTTTGATATGATGTATTCGAATTTAAAATTTTAAATTTAATATTATTGTTTATTTTTATCTAAATAAAAAATAATTAAATTTAGATAAGATACATACATTTCACCAAAATAATTCAAAAGAATAAAAACCATATATTTCAATTACACCCTCAAACAATGAATTTCAATTTCAAAATGAATTTCCTCTGCGTTCTCTCCTCTCACCGACGCCGATGAAGTCTCCGTCTGCCGCTGCTCTCCACCTTCTCATCGTCGGTCACTCAAACCACTCCTCGACCTGCACTCTGCAATCCCGAGTCCTTCGACTGGGTGAATTTCGACGCCCAGCAGGTGGCTTCGGCCAGCGTTCACTCCACGTGTACGGTGTGGGATGTGGAGAGACAAGCAGTGGACACGCAATTAGTTGCACATGATAAGGAAGCGTATGATATTTCGTGGGGCTTTCCGACGAGTAATATAGTCGTGCCGTGCACGGGTTCTATGGCTTTCCAACCCAGAAATTGCTCACGTGTTTGCAATGCCAGTGCGTCTTGTAGATAAACTTGCCGGAAGAGAAGCCGAGAGTAAGGCCAAAATGGAGATAAAAATGCCTTGAGTAGTGCATGAATATTTAGGTAATAATTTTTTATAGTATAATATGAATGTTAATTTAAAAAAGAAAAAAAAAAAGAGAGAGAAGCTTTTAGTAGTACTCCTTCGGTACTAATTTAGCTGTTTTAGTTGAATTGTGGATGTATTAGTTAGATAATATTTACATCTACTAGTGTACGGTGTGGGTTTCACTTTTATTTTGGCTTTTGAATATTTGGTTTTACTATGTTTCCTTCTTTAGGATGTCTTTTCCTGAGAAAAATAATGGTTCAACAGCAAATATAAGTCTGACATGAATGGTTAGACATTATCTTGTCTAGTGAGTGTTGTTGATGATCTTGTTAGCTGTTCTATTTGACTAGTTTATTGTTGGTGATGTAGGATTTATTCCTTCCTAACTTTTAACCTCAACTTAATAGTTTACTTTGAGATTTATAAAGAAAAATGACATATTTCTATTTCATTTTATAATTTAAAACTGTTACCTCAATTACTTTGTTAATGAACATAATTGATAATCATTATAGATGTTACTTTGTTTCTTTATTTTTTATAATGAAATTCTTCTATGATAAATCTATTTTTGTAAAAATTAAATATTGTATGATAGTGAAAAAAATGAACAAAAAATGGAGAACATGAAGACAAATTGATTAGTAAAAGTCATTGCTGCTTTTTTATTTTATCCAATTTGTTTGTCTTGATGTAATTTAAACAATGCCTTAGAAGATTAAAATTGTTAACTTTGGTTTTATTAAATTTAAATAATGATAAGAAGAAGATTTAATTTAATAAAAAAATTCAATTTTAAATATATAATATTTTAAAATATCTAAACAATAAATTTAAAAATATATGTATTTAAAAATTATTTTTTTATTTTAATGCAAACAATGTATTTTAAAATATATTTTAAATATTTCAAATACAAATATATGTTCCCAAACATGAAAGAATCTGAAATCATGGAGGGGGGAGGAAAACTAGAAGGGAGTTTAGGGAAAAAGAAAAGGTTAAATGCTAAATTTGGTCCCTCAACTTTAGTGAGTTGCACATTTTTGATCCCTTAACAAGTTTTAGCACTTTTTTTGATCTCTTAACTATACAAAATGCACTCCGTTAGTCTTTCTGTTAATTTCGATCGTTAACTCACTCACGTGGCATTTTTTATTATTTTTTTGATGACGTGGCAAAAGTAAATTGAAAACATGTTGACGTGGAATTTTTTTTCATGCCAACTCACATTATTACTATTTATATTTTAAAAAAATAAACTAAAATAATTCGTTCATCTTCCTTTCTCTTTTTCTTTTTTTTTTCTTCCTCTTCTTTCTTCCTCGGGTCATTGAACCCTCTGCTGGGTTCGGTGGAACCCAGTTGCTGGGTTCCATTAAACCCAATTGCTGGGTTCGATGGAACCCAACCTAGGTTCCATCGAACCCAGATCTGCTGGGTTCGGTGGAACCCAGTGCTGGGTTCCATTGAACCTAGTGCTGGGTTCCACCGAACCTAGAACCCAGCTCC